GGATGCCACTTATTTAAAGAAGTGTGATTTATATCACTAAGCTGCATGCAGAAATTGCATTTAGTCATATTTTCAAATGTACTGATATTTATTGATGCACTTATGGAACTGACAATGGAGGAAATATTTTTTTTAAACTTTGTTTCTTGATAATACTGTCAGTTTTGTTTCTTACTTAACATCATTAATTGAAATTTAACAAGGCAACAATAAATCAAAATTCTTATCATGATAAGAGGTTTCTCACGATAAATGATAAACGATACGGTAAATGCCCAACCCTAATCTCAGTTTCCTGTTTCTAGCTGTCTGAAGACGTGTTGAGCTTCTGTCATCTTGAACCAATCTGCCCATTTTCCTCTGGCCTCTAATAAACAGGCTGACAAGTCGAAATTAGTAGGCCAGTGTGCAAGCTGCCCAGATTGTGTAAAAAAACCCCAAAGAAATACCATTGGCTGAAAACTGGTGGTTAAAAAAGGAATGACATCCCTCCAAGTGGAGGGATGTCACAGATAGTCTTATCCTTGTCCAGTGTTATGTGCCTGATATTTTTGCAAATGATTTCAGTAATGAAATAAATTGTTCAAACTGATTTTAACAGTTGCTTTTGTTAAAGTTGCAACTCCAACATCGCCTAACATTGTGAAACATTCCAGCGGTGGTTGCTAAATCGAGGCACAGTGAGGAACAACAAGCCGATACAAAATGCTGGCTGGAGGTATTTGGTGCCGTTCGGCTTGTGAACGCACGGCAGAAATACAAAATGTTTCCAAGGATTTTTGGTTCAGTTTCTAGTGCAAATATATTAGTACGCTTAAAATAAGACAAAACTAACTTACTAGTAACTTTTCAAAAAGAAACAGGAGCTTGTGTTAAGTCGGTAATTCCTTAATATTGATGTGAAACAATCTGCCAGTGGAACAAGACATTTTAACATATAATATTTGAAAAAGGCCTTGATCCACTGGCAGATCATTTAACTAATAACAAGTACATTGTCACCAATATCAAGAAATTACTGACTTAAATAAAGCTCCTATTTCTTGCTGAAAAGTTCTTGTATGTTAGCTTTATCGTATTTAAAGTGTACTAAAATAATGGCACTAGAAACTAAACCAAATAATCTAGATTTGTGTTTTTGCAGTGTGCAAAATGTGTGAAGAAAATGGACCTAAAAGCATTACTTCCTCAGTTGAGATATGGAGCAACCAGAAAGACTGCACGATCATAAATATGTTGATGTAAAGCTTTTAGATAAATGAAAACATTTGTTAGATTTTTTTCATATGCGTCAAGTGACTGGAGCTGTGTCAGTGTGAATGCAGGCTGCCATACACTGCATCTGAATGCTCAGAGCCTCTTAACATATTTTCTTGCTCATCAACGTGATTTCACAGCCAGAGGTATGATTGCACGTTTTCAGCCGTTAACTGCACAGTCGCTGCATCCACAACTTTCAGATTTTTCAGTTAATAAAATAGAAAATATAGCCTTTCTCAAGAACAAAACTACCCTGCAACAAATTCCGCCTCAGAGGAAAAACATCCATCTCATGTCGAAGCACATCACCGGGCGCATGACGTCGAGGAAGTTGACAAATGCTGCATGTTGGAATGCGACTTGAAATTTCCAACATCTGAATCAGCGTTTTCGGTTCTGTTTAGTCAGAAGCCCAGAGAAATACAAGCTAACAATACAATGTTTCAGCTACAATGTTGCTCCATCTGACAGTAACAGTGAAGGAGGAGGAGTGCCTGGAGCATTGAGAATGAATTGCTATTAAATTATCAATGGTTTTCCGTATCGGTTCATTCCTGCTTTTGGTTTAGATTCTCATTCCAGTGTAGGTATGTGGTGTGTGTTTGGGTTTTATTCTGTCGTGTTGCTTAGCTCCCTTGTTATTAATTTGTGTGGTTATTAGTCAGCCTCCCTGCTGGGGTCCTTGCCTCACCGTGCTGCATTTTCCTGATTAGTCACACCTGGTTCTCCTGTCACTTTTTATTCACATTTCCAGTAGCTTAAAAGCCAGTGAGTTCTCTTACCTCCTCCTGTTTCTCCCATTGTCTTTTTCTCTGTGGTCTGTTTTCTCTGCCAGACCAGTTTCCTTCATCGATGAGCTCCTGTTGTTCCTTCCGTTCCTGCTGTTTTCTCAAACGTTTAAGTATATGGGTTATTTTAAAATCAGTGTAAGTGTAAGTAACCCCAAAGCGAATTTTGACATTTTTGTTCACATTTTGTTAGTTTCACGTTAATTTACCTAAAACGGTTTCAGTGCTGCTGGAAAACCATCTTGCAAATTCATGAATCTCACCTGTAGATTCATAAAACGTTCAGACTTGAATTCAGTAAAAAGGAAAATTAAAACCTGACTCCAGAATATAAGGGTAGAAAGTCCATACCTGGAAAAAAATGACTGCGTGTAGACATTGTCAGCTGCAGAATCTGCACCTGAGGACGTTTCAGTCAAATAATACCTCCACCATGATGACACATCAGTTCACTTTTATACTATGAAAGCTGATATCCATGGCAACAGCAAAATGAGTGCATTAGCAGAATGAGGCCTGTTTTCTGAATGATCCGATATTTCATGCAACCAGCATCAATAAGAGAGCATTGGGATTCAGGACTGAACAAGCACACTGCCACCTCAGTGTGAGGACGCCTGATGAGAGGAGATAACGGCTCATATATTTATGTCACCGTTGAATATAGCAGGTGATCTGATGGGAGGTTCAAATGTTAACCAGCCACTCACAGGATTCTTGCACCATCTGGAAAAGTCTAAAGTTTCTTCCAGGTCTGGATTAATACAGAAAATGAATTTTGTATTTCCACACCTTGTAGCCTGTTCCATCCATCTGTCCATGTAGAAACTGGTTTTACTAATTAAACCAAAAGTAAGTCAATTTTAACCCAAGCACCGTTTCAACTTGGATGTTTAATCCAGAAATAAAACCAATTGCATTAAGCAGTAAGAGGGGCTTAGTTCTTAAATCAAGCTCCCAGAAGACTCCAAATAAATTGTAAATTCTAAACAGAGCTGATGGTTTTAGTATCCCCTGCAACACTGAGGATGTTCGGCCTCTCTGCTGCGCTGTCTGGTGACAAAAGGCCACAGCGATGGGGGGAGAAGAAGGCACGGAGCCCTCCACCCCCTCCTTTTTCTCCGTTATTCTCAGTTAGGGAAGCGGGCAGGGAGCGGGTGCTGGAGAGGTGCAGGGGGGGGGGATGAATGGGACCAGCTAGTGACCTCAGACAGAAAGAATGTCCCCGTTTGCTCAGTCGGCCCGCTCCCCTAGCAGCGCTCCACATAGTCATCAGAACTGGGGGCTTTGTATTCACCTTCCAGACCCCAAACTGCAGAGCAGAGGCCACAGACCAAACCGACTTCTCACTCCGCTTTTCATCTTGCTCCCCAAAGTGTGATTTAAAAAAAGTAAAAGTAAGCCTAAGAGTCTTAAAAATCTCACCTGTTGTGTGGACGGCGTTCCTGTGCATCCCCGGCCGGTTATACGTCCGTTACCGCCTCGCCATTTCCCAGCATTTTGACACTGGGCGTGCATTTGAAATACAGCGATTGCATAAATGTCATTGTAAAAACGAAGGGGGTGACCATGCTGGGAAACCAATAAACCCAGTGGTGACTCTGGAATACAATTAAATCTGACTAATCCAGTCAGATTTATTAGATCCGTGGGTTTCGTCTGCCCTGCTTCTGGGTGAAGTCATCGTGCTGCCACAGAAACACGGCCGCCGGTACGTGAATTTGAATGGACGGGCTGTGTGAGATGCGTGGCGCGGGGCTGCAGAAGCCAGCGCGCAGCAGAATTTTTTTTTCCTTTTCTGACTGGATTCAAACTTGGATTCTGGTGAATGAAAGCTGGACCAGAGGAATTCGGCCTTCACACTGGCACAAGCCCAGTACCACCAACCGCGACTTGCTTGTCGTTTTAAAATACCAAAGAGGTGATTCATATTTCTTGCACATAGGTTGAAAACAGCAGCTTAAAATTTGATTTTTAACATAGTCATAGTTTTCAACTCCTGTTCATCCTTATAGTGTCAATTGTTGCTGGTATTTCTGGCAGTTGTGTACATAAGCAGGCAGATACAGCACGACCTTTGGAAAGCAGCATGGCTTATTGATTGTGTAAATGGCGTGTGAATGGAGTTGAGTCGGGATCAATGGTTGCAGTAAGTAGACGAACACTTAAAATGACCAATTTCCCCCCAGCCATCTGCTCTGTGCCGACCTGCTGCTGCGGGCAAGTCCATGGAGACACAGCCAGTGAGACGTATTGTGGCACACATCCAGACTTACTTACAACTAGCAACATTTCCGACGCCGTTTGGCATTAAATTAATTTTTTAGGCATTAAATACAGCTGTGAAATAAGATCCAATGTCTGTTGCTTCATGGTGTTGTGGTGACCTGTTTGGTTTGTATATTTGCAAGATTCAGAGGTTGCAAAGGTATCCGATTAGAGATATTCTGTTAACAACTGTAAAGGAGGCAATGGGTTTTCTTTTTTATTGCTCAATAAAGGTAATGTGGTTCTGCTGCGAGCTGTCAGTATTTTATCAGCAGTATCTATAACTTTCTGAACAACCAGAAGGATTTAATTATTTTTTATTAAATTCTGTTCAGTGTGTCATATTGGATCATCTCAAAGCAGTTTGCAAGACAAACTGATCCACGTTATTACAGAAATATCCAGTCAGTCCGATCAATTCAATTACATACATTCCAATTCAGCCCTATGTGTAACACAACCAAATTGTTTATTGTGTCCATTAGTGAAAAAGATGTAGGCTGAAGGAAACTCAGTCAATTGCATTGATTTTCCTGCAATCCTTCCTCCTTAATGAGCTGTCTAAAACAACTTCAGCCTGAAATCTTTCGTGGCTTTTTTAATTATATAAGACTACAATAATTATTGCAGCGGCATGCCACTTAAGTGCTCCTACTAACAGACTTCCTTTGTGATTTCTTCCAGGGAGGAGGCTACGAGGGAAGGCCTTCTACAACGTCAACGGGAAGGTGTACTGTGAGGAGGACTTCCTGGTGAGTCCCTGCTCATTCATGTTTATGGATTTTCCTTTAGTGATCACGGGGAGGCGACAGAAGGTGCAGAAACAAACCGTTTAAGTGCTGTAATTAGAACTCCTGCACCTCCCCCTCAATTTAGACTAATTTCAACCAAATTTCCCTCATGTGCTCGTTCTCGCTGCACACACAGACAGTTTTAGAGGTGCGGGAGGAGTGTTGAACAACTTCTGGTCTCATCTGCTTCAGATTAGCTTGGCAGGCCCAGAGATGTGGTGCCCGAAGTTACTTTTGTTTAAAACTTCCACGTCAACGCAACTGAAACAATGAAACACCTACGTTACCAAAGTGAAGCAGAGGAGAACGTTGAAGCTCCCGATTGGTTCCTGTAAACAGCTTGGTAATCTAGACGAACTCATAACACATGCTGCTGACTGCGCTTCCTGTTTATGGACAGCTTCCCCTTAAAGATTAACTCGCCGATATGTTAGGAAACACTGAAATTCCTGTTTTGCACCGCACCATCACCACCCCTCTGATGCTGGAGGCCAGAAGACAGGATGAAGACTAATCGCCTTCCTGTGGCTGAGGCTTGTCTGGTCTGCCCCGTCACTGCGGGAGTGTTTCAGGCTGCCGTGGTGGTGGTGGGGGGAGGCGGATGGGGGGGGGGGCTTCTTGTGGCAGATGGTGGATTCGGAGAGGCGTTAATGGGCAGGGGGGCGGGCGGCCCATCAACACCTCCCACCTCCACCTGGTAGCTGCGTCTCTTCTGCCGAGCCCTCAGTGTCATCAGGTCGTGACCCAGGAGAGGTTGGGGGGGGGAAGGCTGTGTGCTGCAGATGGCCACTTTTATTATCTGACGGAACGAGCAGCAAGATGTAGAGTGTTTTTATAACTATAACTATAAAACACATTTCACCCTATCAACACACAGTAAATTTGATTAACTGGGCCTGAAAATGTCCCAGAAAGAGACGGAGGATAACAGAGAGACAAAGACATCCTGGTGTGAATGAAAGAGCGCAGGAGCGCCCTCTATAGGCGACTCTGAGAATAATCAGTTTTCCTGTTAATCAGTATTAGGTGCCAATAGTTTGGCGTAAAATCTGTTAAAGTGTCTGAACTGAAGGAAATAAATTGTGCACTTCGTCTTTCCCCACAGTACTCTGGTTTCCAGCAGACAGCAGAGAAGTGCTTTGTGTGTGGTCACCTCATCATGGAGATGGTAAGAACTTTCTCCATTGTTTTGAGAACAGATGTGGGTAGAGTATCCAGAAATTGTGCCCAAGTAAGAGTACCGCAACATATTTTAACTGCATTAAAAGTAAGAAGCAGACATCCAAGAAATGACTCAAGAGAGTAAAAAAGTATTTGGTAAAAAAGATACTCGAGTACTCAGTAACTGATCAATTATTTAATATTTAAAATCACATAATCAGACAGACCAAAATATAAAGCCATGTGCAAATGTTTTCTAAAGAAAAATGTTTTCTAAATTGATTTCTTTCAATATAAAATGTATAAAACTGCAGGTGTTTGTCTGCGTCTGGTGAATTTTTGGTTAAAACCGTTACGCTGATAACAATAAATTAATTTCAATGGAACCAACTTGAAGTTGAAAGTTTTCTAACTAGTAAATAAAATGCATACCACACCCTGTACACTCCGTACTAATAGGAAGAAAGTATTAAATACGAGTGTTTTTTCTTCTTTGCTTGTTCTTGCTTGTGTGCTCGCTCAGATACTCCAGGCGCTGGGAAAGTCCTACCATCCGGGCTGCTTCCGCTGCGTTGTGTGTAAAGAAGGGTTAGATGGAGTGCCTTTCACCGTAGACGTGGAAAACAACATCTACTGTGTCAAAGACTACCACACGTGAGGAAAACTTCACCATCCGCTGCAGTTAGACAATGTTATTATTGCTAACAAGGTGTTCTGTTAGCGTTGATTTGCACCACTGGCATCATGGCAGCAATTAAGGACAGCGACAGATTAAGCGATCAACACATGTTCACTTATGAAACTCGTGTTGTAATTTCTGGTCTTTTTCCAACGCAGGGTTTTTGCGCCGAAGTGTGCTTCGTGCAACCAGCCCATCCTTCCTGCGCAGGTAAAAAGCTAAATTATCTCATGTTTTAAATTATCACTACAGTTCTGATGAGTTCACCTCTGGTTTACAGGTTTTGTAGTTTACTTACAAAACCTGCAAAGTAACAACTTGGCGAGTCCAACATGCTACTCTTTGCTGCAGTGAGCTTTGGAGATTTTTATTTATCTTTAAAAAAAACCCCACAGATTTTGAAGAACTCAACCAGAAGAGGTGCAAATGAAAAATGTAAATAATTGCATTAGTATGAAGTTTTCAGTTATTACAAGGACAGTAGAGACTTAAGTTTATCGGAGCAGAAGGTGATGTTTTAGTTTACATCGAAGACAGCAGCGTGTGTTTTTTAAATTTTTCTGCAGCTGTTTGTCATCCCTTGTCTGTCACTTTAATAGAACAGCAGTCTGGTGTGAAGGAAAGGCCTAACTCTGATTCTGTTCTCGCAGGGTTCTGAAGAGACCATCCGGGTTGTTTCTATGGACAAGGACTACCATGTGGAGTGTTACCACTGTGAGGTGAGACACAGCGTTCATTCACACGCAGTAGTAAGACCAGTCTTTGATACTCTTGTTTGGACTGGTGATGAATTTAGCATCACTGTGTATGATTCAGCGCCTCTGAATCAATGAATGAGACTACAAATAAACAGCCATGCCACTCTGGCTGGCAAAGTGTTGGCGCATTTTCGCATCCTCTCAGTCAGCGCTGTGAACCTGTCTGAGAAATGCACGTTCTCAGACAAGTGAGACTAGACTTTTGCACCAGTGAGAATGAATCACGGCTGTGGACACTAACCCAAGGATGCAGTTGAACATTGTGACTCACTGACTGAGCACATTCCAGCCCAGTGCTTCATTCTCAGCTGGGGGCTTGTTGTGAAACCTCACTTATCTTCCACCTTTATGCCATTTCCTTTCGTAATTTAAAGGTGACCTATTATGCTTCTAGAACAGGCTAGGACAGGGCTATGGACTACAAAAAAAAAAAAAACATGTTCATTACATTTTGTTGCACAAAATCATTAGATAGAGATTTTTAGTCTGCTCATTTCTACCTATTTTGAGCTCCTTTTAGAATACAAACTGCTGCAAACAGATAATTATAAACCGTACATTTTTAAAAAGCAGAAGTGGAGCCTCTTGCACAACCAACAAGAATGGTTTCTAGATAGTTAGTCAACAACAAAACATGTCTTTTCCAGTAGCCATTGTGCAGCACATTCAGTGGTAAAACCAGCTAAATGAAAGTGCTGGAGCTCTGTTTGAGTTGCTAGGTGACAGGTTGCTAGGTAACAGGGAAGTTCCCGTTGATTGTGGCTCAACAACTGAGAGGTTTTTGAAACAGCTTGTTTTCCATACACCAAAAAAGATTAACTTATAGACATTAAATCGTCTGGTTAGCTTTAAGCGCTTAGACTGTTTTTGGAAGCAGCCGAGACCCAAGTGGAAGTATAAAATTCCACAAAATGTCAGTTTGGCATAATAAACATTCAAGAATGATGTGAAAAACAAAACTTTCCTCAGGAAAATTTCACACCTCCTTGCTGTGATCATATTCAGAGAAGTTACATTTCATTTATGCAATAATAATCAGCAGAAGCAGCAGGGTAAGACTTGCTAATGTTTCTGAATGGCTGACATTCTGGGAAAAGGTCACAATGTAAGCAGAGGTTAATCATTCAACCGAGTCTTGCAGGAAGAGGCTGAAGTTCACTTCTGAACTCAGTAAATTTATTACACATTAGAAAAAACAGGGTAGCTTCATCATTCATTTTACATTTAACACGGGGTAGATTATGATTCACTCATTAAAAGTTAACTTGCACTAACAGTTTATGCATTCAGCTCTTTTTGTCCAGGTGTGAATCGCAGGTTTATGTGATTCCTGCTGGTTGTTCAGTGGTCTCCCAGGGGGGCAGATCCCCACCCCATGTTGTAGGGCAATTATCAGTTGAGAACTTTATCACTCTGGTTTCAATGCAAGAATGATTAAAAAGGAAGTCATAAGCCATTCTGTCTAAATTATACAATGAGCTCTTTAAGGAAACTGAACTGAACTTGAGCTATATTATGAAAAAGATTTTGTTTTTTAGCATTGCAAAGCTGTTAACATCATATCGGCGGTTCTACAAAGCATTGACTCAGTAAAGACAAAAGCACATAAAATAATTCATCAGTCTTTGGTTGTAACACGGTGTAGTGTGTCAATTCTTGCACCAGAAGCTAAATATTAATCTGAATCTTGACCATCTCTGTGACACGTTTATGTTTTCGTCAGGATTGTGGTCTTCAGCTGAACGATGAGGAAGGCCACCGCTGTTATCCACTTGAAGGCCACCTTCTCTGCCACAACTGCCACATCCAACGACTCCAGTCAAAGCTGCCCGCCCACCCGCCCCCGAACTACCCCCTCCATGTGACTGAATTGTAGGAAGGAGACCCAGCTCCACCTTCGAGATGATCCAGGACACCAGCAGCGGGGTGAAGAGGGATGGTCGCCCACTCCTTCAGCAGCCACGGTCATGATTCCAGGCGCTGCACCCCCAGCTACAGAAAGGATCTCCATTCCTCCCTTTCTCCTTATCATTTGGGTGCATAATCCAAAACCAGACTCACCCAGAGGGCCCCTACTAAAACCAGCCTTTGACGTTTTCACCTTGTTAAGGAAGCAGTTCCTGGATTTCTTGTGTTTTGACTGAAGAGCTTCACTGCGGCGCTGTCACAGCTGAGAGAACGAGGATCCGGCGTTGGCCGGGCCGAATGGGCAGTGCCTTCAGAGCATTTTCTCTCTCCGTGCAGCTTTCAACACTGAAACAGAGCCCTGCAAAAGGCTATGCAAAGGACCTCCAGCATCATGACGCAGGGCTGTGAAGAAAAAGAAACGACTCTGCACCGTGTCGTCGACGTCACAGTAGCACCACAAGCCCAGAGAAACCGACTGACATTCCAAGAAGATGTCCAAGATGACACCTTGAGAGATTCACAAGCAGTGTCTTAATTAATGATTATATTATGGACAGAGAGAAAACTTTAGATGCACATAGGTCGTCTTTTTATATATGAATATATATTTCGCAGACGTTTTCCACATAAGATCCTAGATGTAGATTGTATTTTTTTATGTATGTGTATCTGTGAGCGTGACATAATTGGAGGTGTAACTGAAGCCTCTGCAGCTTTTGGGTCTGTTGCATTCTCTCTCTCCTAGAGTCGCTTCATGCCTGTCAGAGGGTCAGAGATCCACAGGAAGCAGATGTGGGTCTTGTAGTTTTTGCATGCAGTTCTTTTATTCTATTTTAAGTACATAGACACAGTTCATTTTGTTACAAATTTGTTATTTTTAAGCAAATTTATCCCTGCCTAGCTGATGTTTGCATACTCCAAATAGTAATTTTCAACAAACTGTGCAGTGTGCTGCACCTTTCTTTTTAAACTTAAATCCAGGAACTGACTCAAAACAGCTGTTCCACCCAAATATTGAACAAAGAGCTGGACATTTCCAGAATTCTTTTTTTTTTTAAATCAAATCTAGCGTAGCTGCTTAAAGTTGGATAAAACAAACTGCATGCTCACTTAAAAAATGTTTTTTCCTTCCACATTTATTTCCAGACACTCTTATTTTGTCATATAATCACATCATCCATGACTATGAGCAAGCTTCACTTGTCCACTATTGTCCACATAAGTGTATCTCAATACATTAGAACATTATGAAAATGTAAATTTATTTCAGAAATTTTGTTTAGATATGTAACTACTGTTTTAATTTGGATAATGGCTTGTAGCTGAACAAAATTCAGTTCAATTAATATTTAGCACCGATTGAAAAAAGATTTACATTGTAGAAATGTCAGACTACTAAGAAGTATGTGCTTGTAATGTATGGTGCAGTATATACTCTCAATACTTGCATGAATTAATGCTTCAATGAGGAGAGTTGAGGTATTTTCCTTCCACTTAACTTTCCAGTAATATTCTTAGATATTGCAGTCAAAAAAATCACTTTCTCAAAACATTTTTATGTTACTTATGAAAATTGGATTTTGGAAACATATTAATGGAAAGTTGAGTGAAAGAAAGAAGTGTGGTTATTTTGTAATAACTATAATTGGAGTCCCCAAAATTATGCCATTCTTTTTGCAATTACTCTACATATGAGTTTTGGGGGGGGGGGGTTGCAACACTTTTTTTTTTTACTGAAGTAAATAAACCTTTTAATGATAGTCTAATTTATTGAGATGCACTCGTATGTCCCATTGTGTTCTGCACAAAGTCTGCTAATGTGTTATGTGGGAAGAGGGAAGACTTGAAAGCATGGAGCTGCTGGTCCCACCCATGTGCTTTTTTAAGGGATCCCCACCCACTGTTGCTCGTGTGTGTGTGTTCTCGCAATCACATGCACTTGTGTCTGAGTGTGTGTGTGTGTGTGTGTGTGTTTGTGTGTGTATATGTGTACTAGTGGCAGGCCCCTGGCACATGCACCTCACTGTGTTTGCAGGGCAGCGCAGCAACCAGCAGGATGACCCCGATTATCTCTGTTAAAATCTGATGATGACATTAATAGATGCTGGAACCGATGCATCCGATTTTCTCTGTAGCACATCCGTCACCCATCTGAGGTTGTGGCTAGAGCGGGGAGGGGGTTGGGGAAATGTCACCAACCATTTTGTGCATACACTGACCCGTACTGTAATGCTGTAATACACTCAGTTGTGAATAAATACTACTGAATGTGTTCAAAACAGAGAGTGAAGGCAGGGGTCATCATGTGAATGTAATGTATAGTGTTTTGTAAAAGCAGAGAAGAAAATGACTGCAAACTGTATGATCAACCTCACCTTTCTTGCAAGGCTCAAGTAACGTGTGCTGTACTTGGAGACTGAGGCATTCTATGAATTAATCTAATATCGCCCAAGAAAAACTTAACAAAACCCGATTGTATCCCCTTGAAAGATGTCTTAATTTACTTTTTTAAAATAATACTTTGATTTGTATTTCATAAAGAGGCTAGTTTTTTATTTTTATTTTGTTTCCTATCAAAAAATAAATAAATCACTTGGAAAGAGAGATGACTTCTACTGTTAGTTCCATCAAGCACATCTCCACACCTGTCACGTTGTTTTGTAATGCTCAGTGTTTTGATTACCTAGATGGTTCATTTAAACAAAAAAGGAGACTAGATTTATTTATCTAAACATGAAAAGGTCTAAAGTTATTTAATGTATTAAAATCAGGACGTATCATTTAACTGTAGATGACATAATCTGCTTTTTCAATAAAGTGGTTTTGTAGTTAACTGTAAAAAGTGTTGTTTTTTTTTCTTCTCATCTGCATTGATTCAAGAAGCAAGTTGGATTGCAAAGAGAAGGAGTCCTAGTTCAAAAACTTGGGGAATTTCTCCATCAACAGCAGTGTGATTGAATTAATTCAAAGTTTTTGACAAATCTCACAAATATGAAGTGTAGGGAAAGGTTATGAGTCGAGAATGGTTTGGATTTCACAAGCCAAAACAAGGTTTTCCACGTTACCAACCAGCCCATGTTCCAATGCAATATTATTAAGGGGAAATATTCATTTAGTACACAATCGTTGCCTATTTCTGAGCTTCTGTAACATTGCTGGCCTTTATTATTGGTGTTTTTGCATCATCTTCCAGTAGGATAGTGTTTATTTATCCTTTAGATAATAGCAGCGCAGCACAAGCAATTAAATAATATAATAGTTTTTGAGTCAAATCTGCAACTGCAATTAAAGACCTCAGTTGGAAAGACTCCCACACAGCAAAGTTAAATCAAATATGTTGAGAATGGCAGTTTTTCTCAATTCAAGGGCAAATCCAATTTGACCCATGCATTCAGTCATAGCGGTGTGTGATGAAGAGTTTCTCCTGGGATCCAGTCCTGCTGACTTATGTTCAAAGAATCGAGAAAATTCAAAATATATAAAACCGACTGAGATGATTTTAAAAATTTGAACTGAACCCAAATTGGATTGAACATAATATTTATAAACACGATTTATAATAATCCAAAACATATCAATTGAGCAAAGTTTCTTAGAGAATCACCAATCTTCTGTCTCCAGACCTAAATAAAGAAAACTTGTGCTTGATGAAGAAAAGAGAACATAAGAACCTAGAAATATTGTTCAGCTCCATCTCTGTACACTTCAATCTTGTAAAATATAAAAGTATTAAGTGATGGCCTGTGGTTGTTCAAAGTATTATCAGCAGGGATTATAATTAGTCAGTTCTTAACATTATTTTTTTAACATATAAGTGAATAAAAGTGATCAAACTAAAGATTTGTCTTTTTTCCACATTTGTCAGTGTGAGATTGCAGTGCTGCAGAAACAAAAGGATTTTAGTTTAAGTATTTTCACACACCTTTTCCAGAGTGGCCAACCGATCGGTGCACATCTACATAAATTTGTCCAACGAAAACTTGAGAATAAAAAAAAAATGCTGCCACTGAATGGGTAGATTTATTTTGATTTGCCAAAATGAATGCAAGCGCTGGATTGTTGAGATAAATGAGAGACTGCACCCCTGTGGTGCAGTATTGTACAAAGTTTGGGCTAACTGGGGCATGAAGAAGGCTAATATCAGGAATGCTCTTCCCAATGTTAGATATAAAAAACAGGAAAGACACCAAACACTTGTAATGCTAGTGTATCAATCAGGCTAAGGCTTAAGGTCTCAAGGGTGGTGGGGTCACTAATCTGGTCTCTTCTTTATAGAATATATCCCAAAAAGAAGCGGATTTAAAAAAAAAAGTGGGGGGGGGGAAGCCAAAAAGACTAAAAATTAACATTAAATATCCTTCTACACTGTGCAAGGACACATGACGTGGTTACAGAAAGATGCAAAATTACCAAAACAAAACTCCAGTTAACCAAATTATCATAACTGATGTGCATCGCCATGAAGATTTCGAAACCAAAAATATCAGGTTATGCAACTGTGACAAAAGTGACCCCATTTAAACAGTGCCATAAAACATAATTAAAACCAGAATAATAATAATAATAATAATAATAATAATAATAATAATAATAATAATAA